CCATGGATGTTGTAATGTTAATTGTCAATTCACAGGTTTAGGATGACCATGGAAATACACCTCTGGCTGTGTCTATGATGGCATTTCCAGGAAGGTTTAAGTGGGCAGGGAAGACCTAAACCGAATACAGGTGGCACTATCCCATGGGCTATGGTCCCAGAATAAATAAAAAGGAGAAAACCAACTGAGCAGCAGGCAGTCATCTCTCTCTGCTTGCTGACAAGTCATTCATGCTCCTTCCCACTGTGTCTTCCCCACCATAATGGACTGTACCCTTATTCTGTGAGCCAAAAAAAGACCTTCATTCCTTAGGTTGTTTTGTTAGGAATTTTGTTGCAGCAGTGAGAAAAGAAACAAACACAGAGATATGGGGCTGGAGAGATGGCTCAGTGGTTAAGAACACTGGCTGCTCTTGTAGAGGACCCAGGTTTGACTACCAGCACCATATGGTGGCTAATAACTATCCTTCCAGGGGAATCCAAAGCCATCTTCTGACCTCCTAGGGCATGGCATGACATGGGTGCACTTACACACATGCAGACAATATACTCATACACACAAAAATAAATCAAAACAGAAACCCTCAAACAAATACAGAGATACAGGCCCACCCTCTTGACTAAGGCCTTAGACAGCATCACATTCCCTTCCAAAGCTACAACAGGTACCATTCACTGAACAGATCACCCCGAAGACTATTACCTTTCAGTGGATCTTGAAGAAAAGCCTAAAAGGATGAATAATGTCATGGTCAATCCTGAAGTTCTAAAGAGATCTGAAGGGCCAGATTATTCACAATAGCCTGTCCATGCAAGACTGTTACGGTCTCGGATCAGCTCAGAAGATTCATAACTCCAACTAGTCTTGAGATCTAATATGGATGGTGACATCAGTAAAGAAGGAAAAAGAATGTAGTGACATCAATGAATATCTAATGTTAGTGAATTAAAGAAAGATTGTATGTGTGCTTAATACCATGAGGTTATTCCTCCTCATTATTGAATCTATACAACCACAGATTCTCAGAACAATTGGAGTATAGCAACTCCTTAGTCAGCCTGCCCAAGGTACTTGGAATTTCTGCTATTAAGTTGTAAGAAGTTCTGATGTCCATAGGAATGTTTTCTCAAGAAATATAACACAGTAACATGTTGCAGTCTACTGGAAAAAGTGAATATGGATTGCATTCATTATCAGCCAATATCAGAAAACACATCCCTAAAGGAATGAAAAGCTGTGTTCCTTGTTATGCAACTGAGGGATAAGGGAGGCAGGAATCGCAAGAAAGCAGGATTAGAGAAAACCAAACTGGTCCGAGGGGATTCAAGGACAAATGAAGTAGAGGAGGAACATCAAATGCACATTGGCACACTGTTACAAATAACTAATTTCTTTCAGTTGACACTCAGAGCTAAAACCAGCACAGCACACCAGTGGGTTCCTAAGAACCATTGACTAGCCTGTGCTGTTGTTCATATTTGGACATTAATAGCATCCTCCACAGAAACAGAAATGAAACCAAGAACTGAGCATTTTTATTCATGATGTAAAATAAAATTATTCTGCTAAGTGTTGACAGTAAATTAAACTGGAATTCACAGGAGTGAATCGTCTGACCAACTTGAGATTTCAGCAGCCCATGCTGCCGGGCCAAGTGGGCTCAGGGGAGATATCCTTGGCATGAAACTCACTGCTTCCCTTCCAGCAGAGGGTCTTGTTCCTGGTACTAATGACTCACTGGATTACTTCAGTTGTTCCTCCACTGGAGTGGTCTTGGGTTTCTTTCTTCAGGCCAGATAATACCTGTAAAGGATTAAGGTCCCTAGATAAGAGGTGGCATTTCAGAAGCTGCGGTATTCCTGTGATGATGAAATCTATGACATCATATCCCAGTTCTCACTGTGATTATAGTCTACAAAGAGCCACTATTGTCCTCTGGGAACTAGCTCTTGTATTGACTCCGAAAATGCAAACATTACTTTCTTTTTTCTTTTTTTTTTTTTTTTTCCTTAAGACAGAGTCTCACTCTGTAGCCCTGACCTGGCCTGGTACTCAAAGCTCAGACAAAGGGACATTACAACTTGAAGGCGGATTCACAGCTACCTTGTAATAACTTAACTACCATACCACACTTACATCAGGCTTGTGGGATGTGTTTAAAGGGGAATTTATCTTTTCAATAGCTAGCAGCGCTGGGAAAGAGGGACTGGGACAATTATGGGAACAAATGTTCAATTTTACTTGAATCTGTGATTGTTATGTCTTGGAATTCAACAACCTGTCAGACACCATCATTGATTGCTAATTAAAAGAGAATCATAAACTGCATCTGAGCAAAGCCTACCTGCTTCCCACCTGTCATATCTGTGACTGCCTCTCTTTAACGAGATTTCTCCTGCTCCTCAATATTTGTGGATTTTTTGTTGTTTGTTTTGAGCCAGTCCTGTATCCTGTGAGGCCTTAAACTATGCAGCTGAGGATAACCTTGAATTCCTAATCCTCCTACATCTACCTCTGAAGCCCTGGGATTACAGCCATGGGCCACCACACCTGGCTTGTTTTTATTTGGGATTGCTGGGGATTCAAACTCAGATCTTCATACTTGCATAGCAGGTGCTTCTACCCACTGAACCGTCTCCCTAGACTTTAGATTTCCTTTTCTTTTTCCCCCTAAAAGTGGCACTCCTATACTTGTCCTTCTTTTCTTCGGATTCACCACCAAGAAGATTCTTATTGGTCTTGTCCATGTGTTCAGGACTAAAAAAAGAAAGCGAAGTGTACAGCCAAACACAGTTAAAACTAGGAAGTATTCCTCCTTAGAGGTCCACCACCCACATTCCTCTGGGCAAGGGAGGCTAGGGAAGCTGGGGGACACTGGGAGAGACTTGGGGGAGGGACTAGAAGAGATGGGGGATGCTGGGGGAGACTGGGGGAGACTGGGGGGTGGACTAGGGGAGATGGAGGATGCTGGCGAAGGTTGGAAGATATTCATGAGCTCCAGTGTAGAATTTTAGGAATGTCGGAGAAACAAAATTGAGGGCTACAGACCCTCCTGCATCTGACCAATCACAAATCTTATCACAAATCCTAGGAGCAAGATGGTAAGGCGGATCTTGTGGGGACAATTCAGAGTGGCAGGTATGAACTTGGCCTTCCCAGCGATTTTTTATTTTTTTAATTGCATTTCCAGCTCATCAAACCAGAAAACAGACCAGGAGCCAGAAACAACCATGGGAGGTACAGGACTAGTTGAGAAACAGCCTGAGATTACAGAGAGCAGGCAGGTTCTGTTTACTAAGGCAGGCCTGGGAGGGTGGTCTGGGGATTAACATTCTACACAGAGTGTTCTCTTAGTTCTAGCAATTTCTTTTATCATCTCAGTGGGCCTGGGAGGTTTCCTGAGGGTGGAACCTGCATCTGCATGTGGCTAGGTACTGAGCTGTGTTTGTCAGAGGTTTACCAAGGCTTCAGATGGTCAGGCATTGAACTCTCTCACATGGGCTGTGGAGCAGCACAGACCCAGTTCCAAAGGTGGCCAGGCCACTTACTGTCTGTGTAGACTGTGGACATATGGTGTAAGCTTTCAAAACTTTGTATAAAAGCATGTATGAGCTTGTAATAATAATTCCCCAGGAATGTTATTAGTTTAGATCAGTAATTTAACTAGAGTTTCAGTGTTGACAGCTGAATGAGAAGAGGACAAATACTACCTGGCAGGGGGGGGGGGGGGCATGGGCTTA